CACATTCCCCACTTGCAAAGTCTGAGACTATTGGTACAATATGGTCAGGGTGAGTTCAGTTCAGTCACTCAGTTGTGTCCAACTCTTTGCGACCCCATGAACCTCAGCATGCCAGGCCTCCCTGTCCATCACCAACTGCTGGAGTCTACCCAAACCCATGTCCATTGAGTTGGTGATGCCATCCAACCATCTCATCCTCTGTCATCTCCTTTCCTCCTGCCCTCAATCTTTCCCAGCATCAGGGTCTTTTCCAATGAGTCAGCTCTTCACATCAGGTGGCCAAAGTACTGGAGTTTCAGCTTCAACATCAGTCCTTCCAATGAATACCCAGGACTGATCTGCTTTAGGATGGACTGGTTGGCTCTCCTTGCAGTCCAAGTGACTCTCAAGAGTCTTCTCCAACACCACAGTTCAAAAGCATCAATTATTTGGTGCTCAGCTGTCTTTATAGTCCAACTCTCACATCCATACATGACTAGTGGAAAAACCATAGCCTTGACTAGACAGATCTTTGTTGGCAAAGTAATGTCTCTGTTTTTTAATATGCTGTCTAGGTTGGTCATAACTTTCCTTCCAAGGAGTAAGCGTCTTTTAATTTCATGACTGCAATCACCATCTGCAGTGATTTTAAAGCCCCCCCAAATAAAGTCAGCCACTGTTTCCCCATCTATTTGACCATCACTTCATGGACAGGGTTAAGGGGATAATTATTCAGAAGGTGATATCAGCTATAGAATCTATAGTAAAAATCTGGCTAATACATTTTCTTATATTCAACTAACAATTACTAAATATTTCATACTTTCCAGCCACTGAGTTAAGTATGAGGGAGATTTCAGAAACATTTCAGTTATGACTCCAATACTAGACATGACTTTCCTCAGACAGTTATTGGCAAGCTCTTGATTTATGTCTTTCAACAGTAATATATAAACCTCCTAAGAGGGGATTTAGAATTATCTCCCATTTTCTAAACTGCAGAGCTACGTGTGTGTCAAGCTATATGTTAAAATTCAAATAAAACAGTCAGACAATGTCAATAACTTAACAAAAATGGTCAGTAATGGGATTGCAAAGAGTTGGACTCAACTTAGCAACTGAACAGGAACAACAATAACTATTTTTGATCTTTGCTCTGTACAGTCACAGTTTTATTACATGGGTGAATTTTTTGTATTTCTAGGTAAGACTTCAATGTGAATACTTGGTTCAATCAATGACAATCTGATTTCTGGCTGTAAAACAATTCTTCTTAATCCAATTTTTAATTTTCATTTCAAATAAACATGTCTAATTCTACATGATGTGATCAACAGACTCAGGGCAAGCACAATCATGACCAATCTGAATTTATCCCCTTTGATAACACAAGAAGCTTTGGCAAACATTCTTCTTGTTACTGTCTTTCCTGTGATGGCTGATGGGGCTGAACTGAAAGATCTGAAATGTGTGTTTGTTAAAGACTCCATTCAGTCCTCATTTTATTTTCAGCTCTGTCAATGACCACTTAGGAAAGATCTTACTTCAGAAATTGGACCTTTAGCAGCAATCTTCACTAAATGTCAGCTATGAAGGTTCTGGTCTCAATGCCCCCCACCCTGCCTATCTCTGGCAAATGATGTTGATGGCCCCGATCTCAAAATCAAGCCCTATTAAAAAAAAGGGAGAGTAATTAAGGAACTCATTCTCCAAACATACTAAACAGAATTTCACTAAGCAGTGCTTGGACATAGGATTTTTTTTTTTTTCTGAATAGAAAATGAAAATGCTAATGTGAATATTCTTCATCAAAAGCTTATTGTTCTGAGAGGAAGCCTGGTCTGGTAAGAAGCCACTGCAGGGGTCAACTGTGATTCACAGCTCCAGCCTGTCCATTACTAGTGGTATCACCCTGGACCAGCCACTCAATCTCAGTGATGTCATTGGTAGAACAAGGTCAATACTATTTCATGATCTGGAAGAGTATCAGGAGCTCTTTTATGGTTCCTCAGAGTTTTCTGCACTAAATCTTAGTATAGAAAGAAAAATCAAAATGATGAGGAGAATAAATGCAAGTGGGTGACATTTTGGTTTGGTTACATAATCTAGACACAGACTTCTACTTTCAGCCAGGATTTTGTAGAGGGAACCAGGTTTACTCTGCTGCTGCTAGCAACCAAAAAATGGACAAAATATCTTGAACTATATTTCTGTAAGATGTCAGATATCAAGGACAGAGACCACCGAGAAATGTGAAACTAACGCTGTGAGCTCCACAATTGCCTATGTTTACCGCCTTGAGTTTCCAGGCTAGGGGTCCAGGTTTGGGAACCCAGTTAGAGCCTGGTAGATTCCAGAGAGCTGAAGATTTGGATTTGGAGTCTGGAGACATGGAGGTGCATGACAATCAAAGGACAGAGTACTGGAGAGGAAGGAGTTGTTTGGAGAGAGAATCTGGAGAGGATGCAGCCGACTAACGATGAGTATTGGTTTCACACACATGAAAGAAACTGAGGCCACAGGGAAAAAAAATTCATCCGAAAGGATTTGAGGTAAGTGTCTGGTGTTCACACAGGGTCAGAAACAGTACCTATTTCCATCATCCAGATAACCGCTCTGTTTGCAAATAATTTAGCTGCATTACAGAGCAAAGCTCAGATATTGTTGTTGTTGTTGCTGTTCAGTTGCTGAGTCCAGCTCTTCGCAATCCCATGGACTGCAGCATGCACTGTCTCCTGGAGTTTGCTCAAACTCATGAGTTGGGGATGCCATCTAACAATCTCTCATTAAACCAGTCAATCCTAAAGGAAATCAACCCTGAATATTCATTGGAAGGACTGATGCTGAAGCTGAAGCTCTAATACTCTGGCCACCTGATACGACAAGCCAACTCTTTTGAAAAGACCCTGATGCTGGGAAAGATTGAAGGCAGGAGAAGAAGGGGACGACAGAGGATTAGGAATAGTTACAAGTATCCAAAAATACCCAGCACTCTCAAGGTGAAAGTCACAATATCTGACAACCGATAAAAAAATTCCAAAGGTTCAAAAATTAAACAAAGATATGGAAGACATGAAACAAACAAACAAAAATCCAGATTCACATTCTACAGGTGAAAACTATAATGTATGATATGAAAAACAGCCAAATGGGATTAAGGGCAAATTGAAATATACCAGGTTACATCATAATCAAATTGCTCTAAGCCTGTGATAAAGGAAAATATGCTAAAAGCAGCCAGATTTAAAAAAAGATGTATTATTTAAAGAGAAGTAAAGAAAAGGATGACATCAGCATTTTTGTTTCAAAGAATGCAACTAAGACGAAGGAGCATCATTATTAAGGCAGCTGAAGAAAAACTTAAACCCAGAATTCTGTTCTAGCAAAAATATCTTTTAAGACAAAGGTAAACTAAAGACATTTTTATATGTCCCTGAGCAAAGATTAAAATAATAAAGAGTTAAAACAGAAGCCACCAAAGGATACAAAACAGAATCATTAAATATATGAAATTAATCCAAAAGTAGCCAAAAAAGAAAAAATAAGGAAGAAGATGGGACTAAAAACAAACAGCATGATGATAGATGTAGGCATGGTCATAATAGTAACTTCATTTCAATGGTCTTCTTAATTAAAGGGGAAGTCCCAAGTACATGCTGCCCACAAGAAATGCCCTTTAAATATAAACAAATAGGCTAAACCAAAGCACAAGGATGGAAAACTGATACACTATGCTACATTAATCAAAAGAAAGCTAGAGTAGCTTAATAGCAGACAGTAATTTCAGAGCAAAACAGGTGACTATGGATAAAGGAGATCATTTCACAATGATTGTGGTGGAAGGTGGTAGAGAGAATGTAACAACACTGAATATTTATGCACCTAAAAGCAGTCTCTGGGGACTTCCACGGTGGTGCAGGGGCTAAGACTCCACACTCCCAATGTAGGGGGCCCGGGTTTGATCCCTGGTTAGGGAGGTAGATCCCACATGCTGCCACTAAGAGTTTGTATGCTGTGACTAAAGATCTTACAAGCCTCAACGATGCCTCGTGCCACAACTAAGACCTGGTGCAGCCAAATAAACACACAAATAAAAAGCCCAGAGCCTCAAAATACATAAAGCAAAACCTGAGGGCATCACATGACAAAGAGATTAGCCCACAAGTACAGCTGGAAATTTCAAAATCCCTCACTCGGTAATGGACAGAACAAACAGACATAACGTACACAGACTCAAGCTCAGAATGTTCCTTACATCCAATGGAAGCTCTCCTTGGAGACTCCTTCAGGAGATCTAGGCATACACGGCTTGGTAAACCTGTCTGGGCATTTATCCCCGAACACAAATAAGTTCCTTTGCTGTGGACGTCATGACCAAATAAGGCTCTTACCCCTAGAGAATGTGGCTGCTACCAGCAGGAAAAACGAGTTCCTCTTATTGCGCGAAAACTCCTTATGACCCAGCCAAATCTCGGATTTTGTTGATCTCAGTTACATCACGTGGCCAGGTTACATCTAAATTCCTTCACCACAGCTACTGTGGTTCCCTGACTTCAGAGGTTCCATGTCTGATCATCATCCAAGGCTTCCCAGGTGGTGAAGGACCCTCCTTCCAATGCAGGAGATGTAAGAGATGCAGGTTTGATCCTTGGGTTGGGAAGATCTCTTGGAGGAGAGCATGGCCACCCACTCTAGTATTCTTGCCTGAAGAATCCCACGGGCAGAGGGGCCTGGCGAATTACAGTCCACGGGGTTGAGAAGGATTGGACACAACTCAACGACTCAAATCAGGTCTTGCACTGTGACTCCCTGGGAAGCCTGTGGGACTCCTCCGTGGAAAGGTGTGTCTATTGTGTAGAGATGGCCCTGCGACCCTTTAACCTTCAAGATAAAACAGGCTGAGGTTGAGCCTGTGAATAAGGGTGCTTTTGGCATTTCTCCTGATGCCTTTCTAACGGCCTGCTGCCCCCAAGTCCCCACGCCTACGTCTGCTGTCCCCGGAGAGGTGAAGGGATGCCTACCCGCGGGGGCACAGCCTGCAGGGCGGTGATGTAGTTCTCCAGAGCCAGGCGGCGGCGGTCGTTGAGCATGGCCTCCACCCTGGCCATGTGCGTCTCCACCAGCTGCTGCCTCTCGTTGGCCGCTTCCTGCTCCAGAGACTCCACCTGCTCCTGGAAATGCTGCCATCACAAACACAGGCGTGTGAGCACCGGGGACCGGACAAACGGGACGGAGCAGCAGATTCAAGTCTTTCTTTTTTTATCCCTGAATTACACGCAGCATTTTATTCACATTATGTTCCATTATTTTAAATTTAAATTATTTATTTAAATTATTTATTTAATACCAGCAAGTTAATTAGCATTTTGAATGTTACATCTAATTATAGCTAAGGAGTAGGCTCAGCGGTGAGCTTCCTTCATGGTTCCTGGTAAACCAACCTTCCCTCATGGTTCAGATGGTAAAGAATCTGCCTGCAAAGCAGGAGACCTGGGTTCGATCCCTGGATTGGGAAGAAGCCCTGGAGAAGGGAGTGGCTACCCACTCCATTATTCTTGCCTGGGAGAACTCCATGGACAGAGGAGCCTGGCGGGCTACAGTCCATGGGGTCCCAAAAGAGTCAGACACAACTTAGTGGCTAAATGGCGGCAACATCAACAAAACACTGAGTTTTAACAAGCCCTTCCGATGATTCTGCTGCTACACCAAGTTCAAATCTTTTAAAAGTGATATCACACTTCATTCTATTCAAAGAGTTCCGTCATTTCAACATTTTGACTAATTCAACACGTTTTATGGGTTCTCCTCACTTCCCTGCTTTCCATTCCCAGATCTAATTTCTCAGTGTGAATGATTATTTTATATAGTCCCTGAAAATCGACTTGACTAACCATAATGCAGGATAAATATATGTATTCCTGAAACTCTAAATTACGTGCCTGTTTACTCCTCTCTTACTCAAAACTTTAAGAAAATGTCCATGATAATCTCATGGTTTACTGGAGGTAATTCTAAGAGGGGTTCCTGTCAGAAATTCAATTTATCATGTAAATTGGCCATGGAGAAGAAGTAGCAGAAGACTATGGCAACCTAAAAGCTATATTATTAATAAAAATTAGGCTTTAGGTAACAATATGACTTTTACAGAAATGAATTATAACAAGCTGTTTGGGAGCAAGTATTAGGCAGGGTTTAAGCAACTGAATTACTAGATACTGATTAGCAATAGCTGAATTTGAAGGAAATAATGAGCAATCATGCACATGAGGTTCCAGCAGACGCTGGAAAAGGTGCAGGCACTCCATCAGCAAGGGTTGTGGGCATGTGCTGCTCCATGGTGGATATAAGATGGGTTTACCTGGATCACTGCTTTCTTATCAGCTTTAGGCAAGTTCTTTGCTTGACGTTCTGCCTCTTCCCACTCTCTCATGACCTACAGAAGGAATAAATCATTGAAAACCATCAATTTTTCTTTCAAATACAGATTTCATGAGCTACATCACTGTTTCTTCTACATTTGACATTTTATTAAAAATTTTTCTTTACAGATTTTCTTTTTTTTTGATGTGAAACATTTTTAAAGTCTTTATTGAATTTGCTATAATATTGCTTCTATTTTATGTTTTTTGGCCAGGATGCACGCGGGATCTTAGCACGCTCACCAGGGATCAAACCTGTATCTTCTGCATCAGAAGGCAAAGTCTTAATCACTGGACTTCCAGGAAAGTTCCATACACTTGACATTTTAAATAGGCAAAAAATGATCACATTTCATTCCCAGCTCAATAATATCTAGCCTCCCACTAAGATGTAAATAAAATGTCACAGCAGTACAGTAAACATAAATGTTCACATTTATTGCAAGGATATGGCCCTTTGAAGGCTTTCTTGGTGGCTCAAATGGTAAAGAATCGGCCTGCAATGCGGGAGACCTGGGTTTGATCCCTGTGTTGGGAAGATCCTCTGGAGGAGGGCATGGTTACCCACTCCAGTATTCTTGCCCAGAGAATCCCCATGGACAAAGGACACTGGCCTGAGAGTCCATGGGGTTGCAGAGTCGGACATGACTGAGCAACTAAGCACATGGCTCTTTGAAACAAAGTTGGTTTTTTTCTTTTCCTGAGAAACAGCCGAAAGTCATTTTATTTGATGTGCCCAAATGCCAATGATTCATAAAATGCGTAGATTTTCTGAACAAGGTTTTCCAACACTATATTCAGCACACTGGTTTTAGTCTTTTGTGAAGGTAAGTTGTAAAATCTCAACTCTATATTTTTCAAACAGTACAAAGGGGAACAAAATCATAAGTAACATTTTATGGATGTGTACACAAGCAGTGAACACAGTGCCAAAAAGAAGTCCATGATGGAGGCAGGAAAAGAAGACTTCTGTTGTCAGAAATCCTAAGATCCTTCCCACCGAAGAACTGAGGGATGATTAGAACCTTCTGCTTGCCAAGTCATCTCATAAACAGCAGAGGATGCTCTAGATTCTTACACACCTACCAGGACAGCACACATTACAATGTTCTGAATGTAGCAGAAAGCACTCTTGGTAAGTAACACTAATTTAGTAACCAGGCTAATCTGTTTTGTAGGAAAACAGGACTTCCTCCTCTCATCCATAATGTTCACTTGGGATTTCTCCAAGAGAAGTTCGCCCACTGATTTGAATGCAGAGGAAAAGTCTGCAGCTGTGGATCCAAGAAAATGTGGTTGAAAGAAAATGATACTTGATTCTGACCACCTACAGTTTCCTTTTCCTTTTCAATAGTACCACGCACCTATCAAGTAGAGTTTTTAAAGTGTAGCTCATACCTGAGCAAGGTAAGGTAAAGAAAAGAAAGATCCAGTAAGCAAAATAATGGCCTGTTGACAGCCGTGTACTTACCTACTTTGTGGATCCACACAGCAGGAACAGTGATTTCTGTACTATAAGAGCCTGTTATTTACAGCTATTTATTCCTAAGGAATTGACTTTTTTCTGACATCCTTCAAGATAACAACCACAACAAAAAAAGCTTGGCATAGATAACTATGGATAGAGAAGTTCTATAAGAATATCACATCATCATGTCAGTTTTAAATTAGACAGTTTATTGTTTATTAGCTTTTATTCATTTGGAAAATATAGGATAGGCTTCATGTTGCTTTCACTAAATTATGAGGAAAAAAGGATGGAATGAATTTTCTATTACAAGTGGAAGTGAAAGTCACTCAGTTGTGTCCGACTCTTGGCAATTCCATGGACTATACAATCCACGGAATTCTCCAGGCCAGAATACTGGAGTGGGTAGCTGTTCCCTTCTCCAGGGGATCTTCCCAACACAGGGACAGAACCCAGGTCTCCTGCATTGCAGGCAGATTCTTTACCATCTGAGCCACCAGGAAAGCCCTTATTACAAGTGAAGAGCATATAAAAAAAAATAATCTAGCACGTTCAGACAAAAATTGAGAAACGCCAGGCTGCTATGAACAAGAACAGAATACAGAAGGGATGAAACACACTCCCCCAGACACTTTGGTGACTCCAAGAAATTAATGAAGGGCACTTGTGAAACGGGGCGACTGAAGGCTACTTCTGCTTTATAGATGAGATAAGCCTTGCAATAAAAATACTTCAATTTCCTGCCTCGAGAATGTTCATAGTAGCTGTATTCTACCATGAATTCCTCAGGTAAGGAATCTCAAAATCAGTTTGAGAGAGAAGTCAAATGTTTTATTGGAATGTGAAGAACTGATTTCCTGTATTACATCTGAATTTTTACCATCTCCCTTTCAATATTCAGAACTTTCAGCTTTGAGCAGGGGAACCCATGGAATAATTAAGGAGACTTCTTTAGCTAATAAATTGAAAATAAGCGTTCCTATAGAAATGAAATAGATTTTTGATTCTCAGAGCAACTGAATACCTACACCTTTGTATTGTTTCATTCAAATACCCAAACCCCTCAAGTTCTCTGTATTTGTAAGAAAATAAATAACAAAAACTATAATAAAAATCATTTTTGCACCATCACACTAGGCTTACTTTCTGAAAGATAAATGCACAGTGGGTGCAATATTTCCTTTTGAACAAATGGTTTCCACTGAGGTTCCCTGATAATGGATCAGATCACTCTTGACCTGCTAAATACCAGCTCCACGATTAACAGCTTTACAAAATCTCGTTTGTTTAATTGATTCCTCACATTAGCCTGTGAGATTAGACATGGACATCCCGATTTTTACGAGCCAGGTTAAATTACCTGCCCAAAGTCAGGCAGGAAAAAAATGGAGGACAGATGTAAACCGAGATCTCTGTGGCTCTAAAGACTGTGCTATATTGTCCCCTGTAGCCCAATCAGCCACGATATAATGGCAAATCCAACAAGGGAGCTAAGTTTATTTATATTTGGTGACCGGAGAAAAGGCTGTTCCTAAGATACTGATGCTTATCTTAAAAATAATAAATGTCGAGAAAGGTCAACTTCCATTTTGAAGAAATTTATTTGAAGGATATATTAAAACCATTAAATAATATATAATAAATGATTGTTTGGATTCTTGTATTTGCTAGATACTATTCATAACACGTGCGTGTGTTAGTCACTCAGTCGTTTCCGACTTTGTGACACTGCGGTCTGCAGCCCACCAGGCTCCTCTGTCTATGGGATTCTCCAGGCAAAAATACTGGAGAGGGTTGCCATTCCCTTCTCCATTCACAACAGAGAACAACAAAAGTCTGTAAGTTCAGAGTTATCATGCGCCCCAAGAAAACACTTCAAATACCTAAACCCCTCAAATTCTCTGTATTTGTAAGAAAACAAATAACAAAGACTATAATAAAAATCATTTTAAAACATGATATTTTTAAATTAAAAATTCTCAGGATCTAGACTTCACAGTGGCCCCCTGTAGTCTTATAAAGCAATTTTCTACTGCATGCACAAAAGTATCAGTATCACTTGGATTTATGGATCTTCAAAGACTTGGCTGCTTCATGCAGAGAAAATGAAACTAATACAGAGAGATTTAGGAGGCAGGCAAATGCAAAGTCAAACAGTGCCCAGAATTCAGTACCATAAATTATGATGATAAATGTTGATCTCAAGCATCTCATACTCCCATGCTCACTGGAATGTAACAGACAACATTCTCTGCTCCAGGATAATATTCTTTAAATTATCTCAGATATGGGCAATAACTAGAAGACAACGAAAGTCCATCAAAACATATATGAACTAAGTCATGGCTTAAACAGGTGTGCGAAACTAAAATGAAGTCACTCTTCTGGAGAGAGCTATAGTATCTGAAAAAGAGTATTTGATATCAGTTTAATTCATAGAATCAAAGTGACCAATAAACACTGGAAAAAATTCAGAATCTGTCTTTTCTTTAAAAAAGTAGTGACTAGGTGGGTTCAAGACAGAAGTGTAAGGTTAGGAAGGCACCTTATACACATGTATAGGGACTGAACAATTATAATCCAGCTGGAGGAATAAAACTGGCGAGCAAAATATTTACTTAAATGCAAAGAGAAATGACTCTGTCCCACTCTGAGGACCACATGAGTGTGAGGAGTGGCTGAGAAGCGTCCACGTGAAGAAGAGGTGGCTCCTTTCCAGAGCTCAACGCTGAGACCAAAGGGAAGTCCATGATGACCTGAACATGTGTTGAGCAGAGTGGTTTAAGGCTGCCTGTATGAGGATGTTAGCAGTTGAGATAGGAGAGGAAGCAAGGAAGGCTGGAGCTGGGGTGAGGGGGTTGGGGTGCCTGGGCAGGCACTGGAAATGCCAAGCTGAGCATTCAGTGTTTATTTTGCTATCATTCTTTTGGGGTGCCCCACGGTCCCATAAGTGGATTCTGAGGGCAATAAGAAGGTTCTGAAAGCTCCACAAACAAGCAATGAGGCCTAAACTGAAGTTTCAAAGATGTCTTTTCTGTGGCAGTAAGTGTGGCGGGTGATAGTCATCCTTCTTAATTATGATTCTATATCGTTTCTGTCTTTCCTTAAGAAAAATCCTATTTTTCAGAAAAACTGACTTCAGCTGAAACCTCACCATTCAGCTCTAGCTAGCTTTCTACTTTTTTTTTTTTTTTTAAAACTTCTATTTATTTATTTTTTGGCTGAGCTGCATGGCATGTAGGATCTTAGCTCCTTGACCGGGGATCAAACCTGTGCCCTCTGCAGTGGAACCTCAGAGTCTTAGCCATTAAACCACCAGGGAAATCCCTAGTTACCTTTCTAGTTCAATTTGCTTTTAAGTTTTCATCATGGCCAGCAACTAAATCTGCACAATATACTCTAGAGCCCAAGTATTGTAATTATGGGGTTTTTCCTTTAATGTTATTATTCCTAAGTAGTTCCAAATACTGGTGACTCATAAAGAAAAAAAAAGATCTGTGTCTTTCCAGATACATTAGAAATTCTATGGCTAAATACAGGTTTATTTTTATTTAGGTAGGTGAAGCCAACAGATCAGACCACTGCCATTGAGAAAAACTTCAAGTCACAGTTCCCAGAAGGAGGTGACTTTTCATGCCATGCGGCGGCGGGGCAGGGGGGTTGAAGGTGACACAGAAAAGCACCAGGGTGGTCGGGAGACAAAGGGAGTGAAGGAAAACTGCGGTAGGAATTCTTACTATGGTTTTTGTGGGAAGAAATGTGCAAGGCAGGGTAAGCAGGCTTAACGGGTATAAAATTGGCTAGTGTGAATGCTTTGAATGGGCGCTAGGGTATAGAGGCTGTCCTGAGTCGTCTGACACTTAGCCTTGGGGTGAGAAGGCAGTGATAGTGGGTTGAAGGGTAAGAGACTATAAAGAGGGTAGCTGAGGGGTATGGGCTTTGGATTGGTGGGTGTGGTTATGAAAGGAGCCCTTGGAGGCCAGTCATCTGGTAACCCTAGGAACTGGCCAGCCCTGGGAAGGACAATCTCCCTGGGATTAGGAAGGCCTCAGATGTCAAATCATCAGAAAATTAAAAAGCTATGATTAATGTCCTCTACTAAAGATAGATTACGATCTCACAAAATTTATGCCAGGTTCATGAATCTTGTTCAGTGTTTATCAAGAGAAGTTTGAAGTATGTGTACTAAACATGACAAAAATCAGTCACATCTTCTGATATTTACCCAGAATATTAACACCAAAAAAGTGTGGTTGACTTTAACCTGAGATCTTTCTTCATTCACTCATGTATGTTTCTTAAATATAACTTTTCCTATTATTTCTTCATATAGACTACAAGTTGGAAAGGTGATTGGATGGATATTTGTTTAACGACTGAAGAATCTGGAAAGGGCTAAAATCCTCAGTATTATCTATCTCTAATTGCTCAGACAGTAAAGAATCTGCCTGCAATGCAGAAGACCTGGTGGGTTTGATCCCTGGGTCGGGAAGATCTCCTGGAGAATCCCAAGGACAGAGGAGGCTGGCAGGTTACAATCCATGGGGTTGCAAGAGTCAGACACGACTTAGCAACTAAACCACCACCAAAATCACTGCAGATGGTGACTGCAGCCATGAAATTAAAAGACGCTTGCTCCTTGGAAGGAATCTATGACCAACCTAGACAGCATATTAAAAAGCAAAGACATTAGTTTGCCGACAAAGTCAAAGCTATGGTTTTTCCAGTAGTCATGTATAGATGTGAGAGTTGTACTACAAAGAAAGATGAGTGCTGAAGAATTCATGCTTTTGAACAGTGGTGTTGGAGAAGACTCTTGAGAGTCCCTTGGACAGCAAGGAGATCCAACCAGTCCATCCTAAAGGAAATCAGTCCTGAATATTCATTGGAAGGACTGATACCAAAGCTGAAGCTCCAATACTTCGGCCACCTGATGTGAAGAACTGACTCATTAGAAAAGACTCTGATGCTGGGAAAGACTGAAGGCAGGAGGAGAAGGGGATGACAGAGGATGAGATGGTTGGATGGCATCACTGACTCAATGGACATGAGTTTGAGCAGGCTCTGGGAGTTGGCACTGCAGTCCATGGGGTTGCAAAGAGTTGGACATGACTGAACGACTGAACTGAACTGAGCACACATGCACGATTTTTAAAAAAACTGGGTCTGCAGCCCAGTGTAGTGAAGAAAGCATTGTACTGGGAGCAAGAAAGGCTTGGGTTCCAAATGCCTCTCTGAGAAGCCAAACTCTTGAACCTTTATTGCATTATCTATCATTTATAGGACTAGATGACTAATGGGACTAGATCATTATGATTTACTTTGGTTTTAAGCTCTTATAGTCTTATGAATTAACTCTGTAAGAAATGTTAGACTCAAAGTTTATTTCATACAAAAATATTCATCTTTGCTAAAGAACATTTTAAGGGATTTAAATTTATGACATGGTTACAGGACCACCCTAAACACAGAATGACAAAACCATCAAGAAAGGTGTATACACAACTTAATTTGTGCCAACAAAATTTTACTATAGTGCTATACCAGGATCCTTCCTAGGTGGCAAGTTCAAGGAGAATGCAAAAAACCCCAAATTGGTGCCCTTATGGCAAACACTTAAAATGAAAATATTACGTCTTTAAAATCTGGATAAAATTAGAGGCCCTTACCCCAGGGGGCTTCCCTGGTGGCTCAGTGGTAAAGAATCTACCTGTCAATGCTTGAGACAAGGGTTCGATCTCTGGCTTAGGAAGTTCACTTGGAGAAGGAAATGGCAACCCCGTATTCTCGCCTGGGAAATCCCATGGACAAAAGGAGGCTGGTGGGTTACAATCCTTGGGGTCGAAAAGAGTTGGACACGATTCAGTGACTAAAACGACCACCACCACTGACCCCTGGGCATTCATTAGTCACAGGGCCCCTGGGGAGACAGAGGCAGAGGCAAATCCAGATTTCCCAGCAGAGGCAGAGGCAAATCCAGATTTCCCAGTGTGGCAGGGCTAAAGGATGGAGAGCCACACGTACCTGAGACATCCTCTCGCGGTGCTTGGCCTCCAGCCTCTCCTTGGCTTTCTGGAAATGGGCGTGTTCGTTCTCATCTCCAGGCGTCTCGAGATACTTGTCAACGGCATCAGGGGTGCTCGCTGCTGTTGTAGGAACTATAACACAGAAGGAAAGAAGGTTTAAGGAGAGTGACTGAACATCCAGTCATTTCAAAAGAAAGCCTTATTTTCGGATTATTCCAGAACAAAGAATTTAGTAAAGAAGCACAAACAAGATGTTAATGCTGTCTAAGAGACCATGAGACATTTTGCAGCACAGTACAGGTGTCTTTCACCCCTTTTAAGGAAAATCTTCAAAATGGTCCTTTTTTGTCATTATAATATCTTTAAAATTCCCTGCAAAACAAGCATGCATAGAGCAAAAACAGTTGGTATGTAACACAGATATGCTGCAGCAGATCCCTATGTCTTAGGACAGTAATGTTCGTAATCCTGAAAGTAAACGGTGGTATCAATACCACACCTTAAGATTACTGAAAAAGGGCAAAGAAATCTCAAAATCGGTGTATTGCAGAATTACTGCACCTCAGAATGAAGAAAATCCTACAGTAGATTTTAGATATCTAGTGAGAAAGTATCTGAAACATTACTGAAAAATTCATAAATGTCAACACATTCATTTTTGAAATCACAAAAGGAGCTTTCTGTCTTCACAATTTGGCAACAGTCAACCAATTCATCACGCCAGTTGTCAAAAGGAAACTGATTTCTATTTTGAATTCCACTAACACTGCTGAGGGATATTCCTGAATTGCAACACATACTGCTATATTATGTGGAAAAATAAATACCCATAAAATTGAAGAGTGTATGTACTATAAAGCAAAAATGTCTGAAACTCATGAGCCGAGTAAATTATAATGCCTATACCAGCAGTTTTACAAAAAATCGGTAATGACTAGTGAGAATTCAGAGCATTTATGAGCGTACTGAAAAAAAAAAAACCCAACATGAAAAGAAAACAAGATTTTGATTTAAAGAAGAAAGCATGCTCAACCCGAAAAATGAAATTAGGTGTTTTCACTATGTTCTCAAGCCAAATCAAGTGTTTTATTCAAAAGATTAGTCAACCATCACCAATCTAAGTATTCTTCTTCCCTAATCTTACCTGATTACTTGACTATTATACTTGAGATCTAATATTCCAAAAAGAACTTAAATAAGAAGAATTAACTGCTAGCTCATTTTGAAGCTACACAGTAAGATAAGTGTCTTTTACACATGTTTGGAAGACTGAAGGCAAAAGGAGAAGTGTGGGCAGAAGATGAGATGGTTGGTTGGCATCACCAACTCAATGGACATGAGTCTGAGCAAACTCAGGGAAACAGTGGAGGACAGGGAAGCCTGGAGTGCTGCAGTCCATGGGGTTTCAGAGTCAGACAGAACTCCATGACTGAACAACAAGGGGGAAAAGAAACATCTGGAATGTTCCCATCTAAAGGCTCTAAAACAAGAAAGCTTTCTTGTTATGTAATTAAATAACGAATCTAATCTTAGAGAACTATTTATTCTTATTTCTTCCCTTCTACTTCAAAAACTGTGTAATAATTCTTTTTAAAAAAAATAATAAAAGTAGTTTAGTTGTCAATCCAGATGTTTTTCTGAAGAGGAAGGAAGGAGGCAGAGCATATTACTGGAATTTTTTTCCCCCCAAAATACCAGGGGATTTTTGTCGACTGGTCTGAAATTGGCAGAGGGTATATGTGTTGAAAGACATCGGCCCCCATCTTCTGTGCAATAGACAAGGGAGTATGTATTCAGCCACAAAAAGAAAGGAGGAAAGAACACCAACTGTGTAATCGGGCACACCATGATTTCAATCGCAGCTTGACTTAGTCTTTCTTAGATGAGCTGTGACCCAGGGCAAGTAACTTAAGCACTCTGTGTTCCAGTTTATTCATCTATCAAGCAGTGACAACATGCCGTCGTTATCAGGAGTGCTGGGAAAATGAGATACCACACCACGAGTCTGTCACCCCAGAGAAAGCGTGGTATGCAGGGCGGTCGGTTCACGTTAGCACCCTGCCCTTCTCCTTTGCTCACTGCTCCATCCTAATTCAAATCTTAGCACTTATCCTAATCACAGGAAAAACCAGCTACTTTTAGTTCACATCTACTGAAAATGAACTACACATAGGACTGTGAAGTACCACGGAGAGGAAAAAAAAAATGTACTTTTCTAAACAATCTTCAGTATGACCTGCGTAAAAGGCTGACATTACTAAAAATGTATCCTAATTTTTAAGACTGAGAAATAATTTTCAATTAAATTTTTTTTGGTTAAAAAACAGAGGTACATGTTTTTCAGCATCAACTTAAGCAAATCGATATGCATGTCATGTTCCCACTTGACATGGAAGTGGTATTTAGCATTTTCCCCAAGGTTTTAATCATTTTCTCATTTTTGCTGATAGCAAATGAGAACAAGTTAAAGTTCTTTTGGCATAATATAACCTGGCAGAATGATATGATTAGGCTGACTGTATTTCACATTTTGGATAAATGAAAATGTATAATGGTTTAGGGTCATATTCACAGATCAAGATAGCCAACAGTCGTAAGGTGCTATACCCACAGCGTGGCACCCTGTTTGGAAAACTGAAATTGTAAAAGTTACAAGTAGGAAGTAACTTACAGTTTTGTCCAACTCTTATAATTTGCAGATCTACTGCTTTATGGAAAGAGAGAAACACTAAAATCTGAGTCCACTGTAATCTTATTAGCCTAAGTTGAAATGTAGCTTTGCAATATTAAGAATTAAAGAATAATAAAGAAATCAGCAAGCAAGTTATATTAACAGGATGAAAAATATTTTAAGTATTAAAACAAATTTTGGGAACAATGAAATAAATACAAATCTTTTATTACAAATGTATTTCACTTAATTAGGAATATTTCTCAGTAAATCCTTGTTGCTGGCCCCTGATACTTCCTTTAATTGAGGATTCTAAAAGAAGCTGTCTTTCTTTCCATTTCTTTTTTATTTTTTGGCCATGCTGTGGCACGTGGGATCTTAGTTCCCCAATCAGGAACTGAACCTGTGACCTCTGAAGTGGAAGCTCAGAGTCCTAACCAGAGGACCACCAGAGAACTCCTTCTTTTAATTTTTAATTCAAACTTCTTAGTCATTCACACTTGCCCTCCATCTCAGTTGGTATAAGTCATTGGAAATTTCCTGTACTCACATCAATCAGAAATCAGATCACTGTCTAGTCAAGGAGAGAAGAATGACGTTACATCTTCATATTTTAAAATGAATGTAGTATACTGTTATCATTGCCTTGCTGCTGGTGAGGAGAAAGGGGAAAATGTTTTAAGCTTGTTCAGAGCTCAGCATCTATGGCCTTAATTTTCCTACATCCTGCAGACGTGGTCACATCAGGATTGGCCGTTATTTTGTGGTCAAGTCCATGGTAGGCCAGAGACATGATAAGAAGCATGGCAGGCAGGGGCAGGAAAGCCTATGCCCTAATGCCCCTGCTCTTTCAAGGTGCTTCCTTTGGGGGAAGGAACATCAAGGAATGCCAGGAATGTTCCAGGCCACAGGGGAACAGGAAGCTGTATGTCACTGGTCACTTAAACCACTTTGGAAAATAGAAACTAACTGGAGAGTTTATTTTTGCTGCATTAAAAAAAAAAAAAAACCAGAAAGCAGTTATCCTGTTCAGAGACCTCTGAGATTCCTTAGAAACTGTGATACAGGCTCAGATTTTCAGGCTGGCCAAGTATAACAATACCGTCCGTTCATTAGTGTCTGCTGCGCTAGGGACTTTACATGGGTTCTCATTTAATGGGTGGGGAGGAAAAAAAGTTAGCCTGTTATACATTTATTGTGTAGAAAGGAAAGACTATCAACAACATACTCACTCACAACCCCAGACACACACACAAGTAAGTCTGAATTCAGGATTGGGTAAACCATGAGGAGGCTATTAAGTTAATATTTAAGCAGTAAGGGGCTAATCCATCGACATGTCTAGGGTACTGGAAAGGGTTTGGTTTGTTAATGAACAACCTGTACTGGCAAAAGATATGCTTTGTTATGATAACAGCTAGCTTATTTCCTAACAAATAGTTTCCTGCTCTGAACACTATCTGGTGGATGACCTCCAACCAGCGTTCAGCAGCAGAAGTAGGGCTATGAGACAGAGGTCAGGAGAGAGCTCCTTGAGTTTGAATCTGAATGATCTTTTAGCCTGTGGTCTCTTGGTCTATTCTCCCTTCTGCAGAAAATCAGACTTAACCATCTTCAGCTCTAACTTTTGACCTCCAGCTGCCAAACCATTAGCAGCCCACTCAATCATGTGCATAGGCATTTAACTTTTAAGGGACCTTGATATTGCTTTTTCTTAGTGTCGTCTCATCACAACTTCATAAAACATAGTTACATTCCTTTTAATGCTAAGAATGGGGGTCTAAAGTAATACCAAATAAAAACACGCAACAGAAATGCAGTTTTGATTCACAGCATGTTACTGCCACAATCTGAAACATCCTGCTTCCAAAAATTCAGTGGCATTCTGGGTGAGTAATGCTTTCAATATAAAGTTCATGTTGTTTTTCTTTTTTGCAACCCTGGGAGGTTAGAGGTATCCGAGATTTTCTCAGATGCATAGCGGCTGGGATGCAGACTCAGCTGTCTCGAGTGTGAGCCTGTTCACTTCTTTATTCCTCCATTCAACAAATCAACAAATATTACAGCCCCTAAAACTCTTGGCAGAAACCAATGAGTGAAATAAGACCCTTTTCCTGGTGGAGTTGTATTCTAGTGAGAGAACAAACACCACACACACACACACAGAGACAGTATTAATCATACTGCTACAATGTGATCTGTGTTGTGAAGAAAAAGAAACAAGAGCAGGGTTGAGGAAAAAGGAGCCAGGAAGGCGGCGTGGGGGAGACTGGCTCGGTCTAACTGACAAGGTGAGGTTAACAGGAAGAGCTGGACTGAAGTCTTATTTCCGAGTTACCCGCTGGAAGAACAGGCAGATGAAGACATTAGGGCAAAGGCCTTTGGAGGTGAGTGTGCCTGGCAAATCCCAAGAGGAGCAAGGTCTATGTGACCAGAGGCGAGGAAGCACGTGAGACAGGGG